CAGCCACCTCCGTCTCCTTTGTTCTGCCCTTTGTCACAGCCCCCTCCATTCCATCACCCCCTGTTTCCTCAACAGACCGGTTCTTCAAATTCCTGTCTGTGGTGCCTTTTCCACTGATGAGCCTATTTACAAGATAGGATAACCAGGATAAGACTGATTTCACTCAGCACTCCTTAAATTATGCCAGATTCTACCCTCTCAGCCTTGTCAGTTGTCCCCAGCCTCCTTATCAGCTTCATCTGTTCCATCATCCCCTCCCAAATATTCGATGTGTCAAAATGTTACATCCATATTCAGCCTATTTGGTCAAGCACGCAGCATGTTTCAATCTTAGGTCAGCTTTGGAATCAACAAAACTTTATCACAGAGCTGTAGGAGTCTGCAAATGGAAACCTATTACGTTACTAATGGGCCCATCATAAGCTACCAAAAGGTTCCTGCTTTCAGCCGATAGGTCCTCAGGCTCATGGTGATAAACACTCTTTCTTGTTGGGGTGGTCTTTCTTGGATTTTAGGCATTTGCAGAGTTGGTCACTAGCGCTGCCCCAGAGCCATTGGTGAACACTGAGATGGAAGAGGGCAAGTGTGAGTTTCGGCACATTGCAACCCAGCGCGTATGCCCAGCTCTCGTCCCACAGCAATTGCGAGACAAAGGGGCCGCCCATAGAGTTCTTGACACAGACGGGGAATGGCTGTTGACCGCTGCTGTGCGAAACGGCACATTCCTGTACTTAGACCAAATCAAGGCCATAGAATTATCAGCCCCCATGTTTGGAAGTCCTCCCCAAACCGCCTGCCCTGGCGGTGGAACCTTTTGAAGGATTATCGCCAACCTTGAGATCCCTTGTTTTCAAGTCCCCTGGAGGCAATCGTGTCGTCCCTTCCCGAAGTGGAGCTGCCAAAGGAAGGGAGTGGTAAGCGAGGAAATGTGATCAAGTTGGATTTGGCGATATGCCTCGTGAAGGCTCTTTTTCCAATGGCATCCTCTGAGGAGCAGCTCCAGATGGTGTCCAAGATGATGCGCCGAACCGGTGAGACTGTCAAAGACCATGAAGCCGTGCTGGACTACATCGAGCAGCTCGACGAGCAGAACAAGACGGCCTTCAAGGAGTTGAAGTCCTTGGCAAAAGAATGCCGAGAAGAGGTGGAGGAGACGGACATGGACTTCATTCGGACGAAGCTTGGGATGCCTTCGAGAAAGACTCGTCAGGCCCAGTCACAAGACGCCGGCCACGCAAACCACGATGCCGCGACTGAGGGCGCTAACGCGAGCAAGAAACGGGAGCATGAGGATGGCCAGGGCGAGACGCAACCACAGGAAAGAGCACCCAAACGTTCTCACGTGACGCCGTTGGAGTTCAAGGAGCCGTGTGCTTTAAGGAAAATTTCTGAGCCAAAACAATGTTCCCAGTGACTCCCCACTATGCTTGGCCTTATTAGAAGCCTATTAGTGGCATATTGGAACCTTATCAGTGTTGGTGAGGTGGGCTTGGGCCTTGATGCCAACTGAATTTATACTGACAAAAGTGTTTCATGTGTTGCATATGTTTTGTGGATATGGGAGGTGCATCTCTTTCTGATCACCATTTAGATTTGGCACAAACGCTGTTTTGCCCGCGTGTGAGCTGGGATGTTCCTCTTCCCAACCCATTCAGGGTCCTACTTGAGTATGTGTCAAAAAGCTCGCAAACTCAAGTCAACTTTTCAAGCAACTGGCAAATGTGCAGTCCCACCCTTCCGAAAAAGGAAACACCGTTGTTGGATATCTATCATGGGTGTCGCTCACAAAGCAATGTCCAATAAAGATTGAATGCTACTGACATCCACTCGTAGGCAACCACCCAGCAAATCTCTACATCCGCTGTTGTTCTCTCCTAGTCCACCTTGGGTCAATCACGGGGTGATTTCGGGGGCTAAGGAGGGGGGAGCGGGGGGGCCCTTAATTAGGTGTATCAAGTTAGCTCTGGATAGGGGATGGGTCAAGCGAGTTCTTAAGAGGCTAAAGAGGTCTAAGGATCTATTAGACTCATGTTGAAAATTCAAAATAGGCCTTTAAGACATGCTTATTTACTGTGGAGGTATTGCTTCAATCCATCCATTTAGGCGCCCGCAATGTCCCAAATCCTGCAAATATGGTTTAACACATGCCCAAAACCATGTAAATATCGATGGTTTGGTGCCTGAAATGTCCAAAACCCAATGATAATTAGCGCTGGCAATGTGCAACACCCTGTGAATGGCAAGGTTTTGGTGCATCCCTTACTCTGTTACCCCTTATTAAGGCCTTAATAAGACCTTAATAAAGGCTTAACAATGGCATCACTTGCATCACATGCCCCCCCCCAGCTGGGAGGAGTCAAGGCGCACACTTGCAAGGGTTTGTATGAATATGAGGGGTGCGGATCGAAGTTTCCTTACCTCTCATTTCACTTCAATGACGCCATGGGGGATCAACCTATTTTCTATCCTATCCGTACCTGAAAGGATAACAGCCCCCTCAGCCAGCCCAAATGACCCCATGAGTCAAGAACTTCCAGTGTGTGCCTACGTAATACGGGAGATGAGAACATGCTGGGATGGGAAAACCTGATGGATGAGGAAGATGCTCTGGTGTCTCAGGAGCCCTTTTGCCATGCACGTTTGTCGCTTCCGAATGATTGAAGGAGGAGTGATGATGAGGAGATATTCGGCAGTAGGGGCAGAAGGAGGCCAGGAGAGGAGAGCTCTACGTATGTAAAGGTGTCAAGAGTCCGAGTCCAGGTTTGCAGCATTTAGTACAGGATCTAGGAGAGGAAAGGAGAGCTGCGCATGAAGCTTCTGTTGAGTATAAGATCGGAGGCATCTATATATAGGAGGGGTATGCATGGCATGACGCGTCTAGAGTCCAAATGCCAAACATATGTGCTAAATTGTCAAGGCTTATTAGCACCCTATTAGTGGCCTATTAGAGCCCTATGTGTGGTGTGAAATGTTGGCGAGGCTGGCTTCACGGGATTCTGCACAGTTCAATACCAACATTTGTGAGAAAGGGCCAGCAAGGCTTCCACATCCTCAAAAAGGATACGTGTACTGTACACCATAGACTTAAATATGTACAAGTAGACTGTCGCCTAGCTCGCACCATGGCTTCTGAACGGGCCTCACTCCACTTCCTTTGATTATGTTTTGTTTCTGGGACCCCAACAGGTGGAGATAGTGGAAACTGAACCCAACACCTGGCCAAGACTGGTCAAACCATGGTTGGATGTGGTTGGTTGGCCTTGGAGCTTTTCACCGCAGGACCTCTTTCCCGTTGATTCGGAAGGGATTCTTCACTGCTTTCATGATCGCGTAGGCAAAGTTTACCGAGTGTCTTTTCCAGGAAGATACTTGCTCTGCAATGCGTTTTCAAGTGACGGCAAGTCAGGTCAGTCAGGTCCTTTGTCAAGTTTTGGTCCCGGCTGGAAATTGAACAACTAAGGGTGTATTAGTGCTTTAATAGCCTCCTATTGTTGGGGGGTTCAATGTAAGAGGGGTTCCAGGTGCTAGTCCCTTGTTTGTTCTGCCAGGGCCTGACCTGCCTCACAAAACCCGGACTGCTTGATCAGTTTTATGTAATAAGGGCTTGAGGCTTCCTGGTGCATGCGTTTGCTGCAGGTGCGAAAGAGTTTGAGCATGCGAGTTGCTCCAGAAAATGGCCTACCACCAGGGCTGCAGAGGAGATCGACGCTCTGAAGTGTGTTGTCTCTTGGGCATATGCGCGATGGAGGCGTGAGTACCCAAGATCAACTGCAGTTGAGTGACCTGGCGTTACTTGAGGTTCCGCGTATCTTTTCCTGGTGCCCTATTGCTTTGCTATTGAACAGTGTCCACCGTTTTCCTTGGAATGCTTCGGTCCATGGACAGCAACGCCCGAAGAATACACCTTCTCAATCTACGAACCTCCCCCAATCCAAGCCCTTGGCTTTGTGAACCTACCTTTCCGTTCCTAGATATGGGGACCCTTTTTGCAGCTTGGTTTGAATAATTAAGATGCCGCACTCGGCCGGGGCGCCTGCAGTGGCCACCGGATACACAAAATGACTTATGTCAAAACGGTCTTGGTCTTTGAGTACACAGCTGAGACAATTCATCGTGTAGAATGTAAACGGAACCTGGGGCGGTCCGAACTAGAGAGTGTGTTAGTCATTCACTAGTTCACGTACACCTGGCACAACTAACTGCGAAGGGATTTCTAGTCGACTGTGTCGCTAAGGCCTTCTATGGCTGATTTGAAGGATTTCATCGAGAAAGCAGCTGCTGCCGAAAGAGCAGGGTGAAAATCACCGTTTCACTTTCGAGAGCAGGTGAACACCGCCCGCTGAAAAAGGTGCCAAACAAACCGTTTCTGAGAAGCGATCACCTATCTAATGTCAGCTCTTTTCAAGACACCTGAACTTACCGGAACATCATCCCGGGCCACAAAACCTGGTCTTTTCAATGATTTTTATTTAGAGCCTTTTGCTGTGTTTCATACACTCCAAATCTCCTACTCCAGCGGTTGTTCACCCATTTTGGCGGTGACCCGGATGATCTGAGGATTGTTTTGGTTTCAGGGTGGGTCTCAGTTGTTGCGCAACACGATGTGTTCCACATATGTCCTAATAAACCCTTAATAAGGGTTGTCTTCCCTTGGTGCACCAAGTGCTCGAAGTACTGCTCATTCAGCATTCTCACATCCTTAATAGAGCCTTATTAACTTTTTTTTCTAAAAAAAAATTGAGGGGGGTAGTGTAGACGGGGGCAGTGCGAATGTCCATGACCTAGGGTCTCTCTATATAAATAAATATATATGTAGGAAGCTTCAAAAATCACAAGTTCATCAGTTTACCCCGGAACACATCCATCTGGCACTTCACTTTGAAGGGAAGTCCGTATCTTCCGCCTCCCCAACTCCAACTGTTTTGCTCTGGGGTCTGTCAAGCCATCGACACCTGTCGCGGCAACACCACTGCCCGCGGCATGTGAGGCCTCCAAGCCGCTGCGCGGCAGGCCTCTGGGCATTCATCTCCCAAGACCCCAATCAACTCCCTGATGGTGACCAAGTCCTTAGAGCCGCTTGGATCATTTCCATGGACAAACGAATGGGATTGCAATGGGAGGAACTGGCGGATGTCTGAAGACTTGTGGACCTGGCCTGGAGAGAATCTCGCATGTATTATATATTCTTCTAATTACGCATCATCCATGGCTGCAGCAGCCCGGGGGCAATGCACCAACCATACGCTGGCTCAGGATCTTAACTGCTCTGTGGCATACTTTGGCACGGGAAACGTGAGGCTGAGGCCACGGCACGATCCCTTTTTACCACTGCTTAATCTTCTCGGGCACACCAGTCCTGCTATGTCCTGCTGAGTGCTCGCCGCAGTGAAAGCATGGTCGTCCTCCTGTACATGTCAAAGCTGGGTAGCTAAACTATGCCCAGCACGAATGACGCGCCGAGGACAGGGCGTTGATGAAAAAGGTAGCAGGTAGCGTTTCATCAGGTCTACGTCCTCCATGTCATACGAGGCCCCAACATCAGGTCCCCAAGACCGATGAGAGTCGCTGCTCCCAGGCGAGAACAAAGCGGAGCCATGCGGAGCCTAAGAAGCCGGCGTTTTGTGAGTTCTTCTCAAGGATTCATTCTCCTCCTTCAAGGATTGATTTGCCCTGAGCAGGGCTTGGATGTGCGATCTTGCATTGGCCTTCATGTGAGCCTCCAGCTGGTCCACGGCCACCTGCTCTCCACAAACTTCGCAGGACATCAGCCGGGACCTGCACTGCTCCTGTCAGAGATAAACAAAACTAATCTCATATCAGGTTGACCTTTTGATCCCCTGGTTTGAGGTCACTTAGGCCTGGAAATGGTCACTCATATAGGGACTCCACAAAGGTCGCTTTGAAGAAGCTGGTACTTCGGGCCTGGGGTCAAAGCAGCCATGTCTATTCCTTTAGACGTACCAATCTGAGGCATCCTGTAGCTGTGCGCACCAGGCCCAGTAGTCACGGGTGGCTGATCAACCCTTGGTGCTCAAACAAAATGCATCCCCCAACTAACCGGATCATTTCAGGCATTTTCAGGGATAATCCGAATGCTTGGTTTTGTGGTACGTGCCCGCCTAGCTCTTTCACTCTAGATAAACACATAAATTATAAACATCAGAAATCTTGAATCCTGACCATCCTTCCTTCTCTCCTTCCACCTCCCCTCTTTCCAATACCAGCTTTCTGTGGCGCCACCTGTCCTTGTGGTGAATGGAGAGCGTCTCAGCCTGAACCTCCTCTTTGCACTCGCTACAGCACAATGTACGCTTACCACACCTGGACATATGCCCCCTCTTGTCGCCCAAGCGACAAGTCTCTTTGCAGCCAAGGGGGGCACTGGATCATGAGATTGAGGATCTTACGTTGATCCCGGGGTGCTGTCACGATGCTGTCCCCATCGCCGCGGCAAACTGGGCAGCTGGGCTGGTCTGTTTCGGCGATCCATCGGGTCCAGCACATCTCGCAAAAGAGGTTTCCACAGCCATGTGCAAGCGCATCTCGTGCCACACACATGCAAATCGCACACTTCATGTTCGCCGCTTCGGCCACATCCAACCATTGCTCATCATGGCCAGCATCGGTATCAAGCTCAGGCGGTTCGGGTTCATCGCTCCGAATGCAGGTGCCATCGGGGTCATCCAGCACCTGCCTTGGACAAGGAGAAGGAGGGGTCGAAGCAGCGGCTTCAGCATCTACTTCTTCCCCGGATTCGGACCTTACCTGAATCACACGAAACCATCCATCCATGTCTGGGTTTCCAGGGTGGTCTCCACAATCAGGTCGGCTCCAGACTTGGCCAAAAGCTTCACCCCCATCACGCTGTGGGTTGCCCTCCGGAACGGGGATGTCCTCCGCCGTGTTCGCCCGGAACAAATCATACTGGCCGTGAGCGCCCACGCGGTAGTTCGCCCGAGTGGTCCGGTGATCCCACTTCACGGTGATCCAGCCTGGCATGGAACATGCTTCGGTGGTGCCAAGGCCTCCTCTGTCTTGGTTGCCCCACTTCCAATCTGGTCCTCGCCTCACTCTCAGGCCAAGCTCTGCGGAACTCAGAACATGACCTGTTGCTGAGGCAGCGAGTGAAGGTGAGTCAACGATGAGGTCATAGCGTCCTTCTGCCCCAACCCGGTACCGGTAGCCATGCTCCTCCCCACCAGCATCCCACTTCACACCGACCCAACCCTCTTGCTCACATTCAATTACAGTGCCTGGGCCTCCTCCATCCTGGTGGCCCCACTTCCAATCAAGGCCTCTTCTGACTCTGACGCCCCGCTCCGCCAACCTTAACACCTCACCTGGCACAGGCAATGTGGAGCTGTCCACGACGAGGTCATAGCTGCCTTCAGCACCCACGCGACACCGAGTCCTCCGGCCTGTATCCCACTGGACGGCCACCCAGCCATCTCTATGGGCTCCTTCAATGGTGATCCCTGGGCCTCCTCCATCCTGGTGGTCCCACTTCCAATCTACCCACGCCTCACTTTCACACCTACCACTGCGCGGAGCAAAGAATCTGGCAAAGAAGGAGAAACACCTGATGTGGATGAAAATGAGGCCATGATCAAATCATACTTTCCCCCGGCACCAACGCGGTACACGTTTCGACCTCCAGCATCCCACCGCACCCAAACACAACCAGCTCGATGGCCACCCCTGCCTTCGATGGTGGTGCCCAGACCTCCACCATCCTGGTCACCCCACCGCCAATCGGGCCCCCTCCTCACTCTGAGGCCGACCTCCGCGCTCCTCAAGACTTCTCCAGGTTGGGCAGGAGGGGGAGTAAGTGCAGCGGACGCAGTGGACGCTTCACCTGCCGTTTCGTGATTGATGGCTGCAGCTACCTTGTCGCAGGGCCTCAGCACCTCAGGGTGGTCAAGCCGAACACCCTTTGATGGCGGGAAAAAATGTTAGTTTACTTCGAGCGATGCCCACCCTGAAAGGCGATTTGGAAGAAAACAGGGCACAATGTATTGAAAGACTGGCCTGACAAAGGTGGACATGCGGATCGACACACTGTTGTTCTGACACATCATCTATCATAGAGGCTGGGAAATGTTCTGGACTGTGTTCTGGCGTCCTTGTTGGCGTGCGTTCTTAACATGTTTTCCTGCCGTGAAGTCTGACGGACTTCGGTCCTTGCATGTGCTCTGACATGTATTCCAACGATTAACGATTGTTCTGCCATCAAGGAAAGTGTCCATCTTGCGGGTATCGGATATATATTTTTTGTAACCCCCCAAATGTCTACCTGTTTTAGTTTTATTTGTAGTTGCAGTGTTTTCTGCGCATTGTTTCTGGTTTGTTTTGATAAATATTGTAGTGCTTCATTAAATGTGTATATGTTTTTGATACCTAATATACCATTTTTTATGTCCATATATTTCTACATGTCCATATATTTCTACATAAGCTTGTCCATTTGCACCCCCTCTTGCAGTGCAGGTGAAGATTATATGAAAAAAACAGAAAACAAGAACAATCTAAACAATCTTAAGGAATCTTAAGATTTTCCTGGAACCCAGAACCAAGATTGCACAGAAAGTCTTGGAGATAATCCTGGTTCTTGGTTCCAAGAAAGCCTTCTCATCAGAACCAAGATTGTCCCCAAGACTTTCTGTGCAATCTTGGTTCTTGGTTCTTGGTTCCATGAAAGATTTCTTAAGAACTATTGTTCCCGCAGTATGTGAATTTGATAGAAGTACTCTCAATATGCCAGCCAGTGCGAAAATAACTCAATGTGTGAATTTTAAGATCAAGAAACTAGTTAATGAGATTGCAACTCTATTCTTCTCTTATTTTCTCCTCCTCCCTTCTCTTCCCTTCTGTTCTCTGAGAAGTGAAAGAGGAGAGAACAGGAAGAAATGCTACTGAGATGTCACACACACCAGTGAGCCTGTCAATTGTCAAGTTACAGTGTGGCATTGAAACTTGCAGTTGGCACAACTCATCGTTTGTCTTGCGGTGATTACAAAAATGTTCTTCATTGTAATGTACACAAGTAATTGTGGGAATTGCTCTGTTACTTTGTGATATTCACAGTTGTATAATAGTTAATTCAATATGTCAAGCTATTAAGTCACAACTCACATGGTCAGTTGAATTAATCAATGTTCACGTTTTACAAATGCAATAAATACAACTAACAGTGAGAGCTGCAGCAATTATATATAATGTTGTAAGTTGTCATAATCACAAGTGAGTTTGTCAATTGTAATGTTTATCGGTGGTTGTCACAATTGTCAAATAAAGAATTCATGTATATATTGAGATTTTCAACTTCAATGTGAGAGTTGCCCTCATCAATTTTCATCCTTACACTTGCATTAGATACAACTGAAGGTATGGGAAGGCTAACAATGTACATTACCAATATTGCCTTCACCAAATCTCATATGCACATGTGCATTGTAAGCACTTGACAACTTGACAAAATCAGTTGCAATCTTAATGTGTTATATTATCAATTGTCCTGCACGCAAATAGTTCTGTGAGTTTATGTGTTACCCTGTGGTATTCACAATTATAAAGCATGCAGGTCAATGCCCTAGTTGCGCAAACCCAATGTTTTGTGACTGTCACAAATGTATAGTTTTAAATTACAGATTTGAATTGTTTGTGTAATGCCAGTGAAAAAAGCAAACTAGCGACTCTTATAAGCAGTTGTATTCATCAATCATCAGACGTGCAATTGCACTGGGTGCAACTGAGAGTCTGACTTGGGGTGCTCATATATACTATTGTTCATCAGGTACGCAATTAATTCTGTAAATTGTTCTGATATTTGGGGGGTCTTCACACTTGCACCATGAGATTCATACTTTGAATTGCAAGCCCCATGTAACAATTTGAGTCGATAATTTTGAAATTCACATGATCAGTTATATCCATGAACTCTTACATTTGCAATTGCATTAGATACTACTAGCAATATGAATTGGAATGTATCCTTGTCCTCGAAATTCCCAACCTTGGAAAACATATGTCCTTATCTGTGTGCATTGGTCACCCGTTCTGCTTATATTCATGCAGTTAAATCACAGGATAACACAAGGTAAAAAACAATGCTAGCAAACCAAAAAGGTAGACATTTGTGTAGCACACATATGTATGTATATACTGACATTCTATCTGGCATATATTCTGTCATTCTATCTGGCACATGCTCTTGCATCCTATCTGGCATGTAAGGCATTGGGCATTCTACCTGGCATACGTTCTGGATAGTCTCTACCCTATATTTCATTCTTACGCGCTGATCCCTGCTTGAAATGTGCAACACCAAACGCAGCCACAAACCAAGGACACGTTGACAACTGACCCACCATCATGAACATGAAGGGATATGAATGGTATTCCTTTGTTTTCTTGTATTTTCTTGTTTACTCTTTGGTTTGAAGTCTTCCTCCTGCTTGGTTGAGCATGCAACTGCAGAAAATGATTTGCTAGGTGTGTCAGGTCTGGATGACTCCCTGTTTTGTTTTTTTAGATGCTTTCAAGCACATCTCATCAAATCTCAACATATCGGAATGTCACCAAATAATATGATGTGAACTCACCTTTCACCTTCTCAAGCGGCCCCCCCTCACGCCGGCAATTGTTAGCTTGCAAAAAGTATCATAAAGTCAACTCCAGACATGTGATTCTGGACTCAACAGGAGGCCTTGATTAATTTTCAAACACCGGGACGTTGGGGCAATCATTCTGGCACTCTATCTTGCATGGCATTCTGCTCGGCAGATACTCTAGCATTCTATCTGGCATTCATGCTGAAATTCCACCTGGCATTCCCTCGAGCATGTGTTCCGGCGTTCTATCTGAATTTCTTGTGCATACATTCTGGCGTTCTATCTGGATTCTGGCATTGTATCTGGCATGCTTGCTGGCATACACTGGCAGTCCATCTGGCATAATACACTTCTATCTGGCGCGGTCCAGCGGTGCCCACTGCAATCAGGCACTGGCGGTTGAGGCCCGGCGGTGCCCACTGCGATCAAGCGCTGGCGGTTGAGGCCGGCGGTCCCCACTGCGATCCAGCACTTGCAGTTGAGGTCCGGTGGAGGAGAAGGAGGAGAAGGAGAAGGAGGAGACATCTCTGATAAAATCTAACAATCCTTACCTGGCAGGTGGAGAAAACAATAAAAAAATGCCACAAGTGGAATCTGCCATGTCACATCGACAAATCCACTATGATAGGAGTAGGTGAGAACAAGAACCAGGGTGGAAGTATATATCATATCATATCTATACCCTAGGATTCCAGCCACCATTGATTTATATAATAGAAAATGGTTCTTGCCAAACAGCCAAGCGTTTCACAAAACCAGGTGAACCAGCCGTATGAGCAGTCTAAATGGTCAAATCAAGCATAAAGCCATAACGCCCAACAACAACTTGTCAATTTACAAGATTTAGATTGATGGAAAGTTGAAGTTTTTATCCAATTCTATGGTCCTTCACACCAGGTGGCCTGGCTCAGTTGCTGATGCATGTTCAGAAGCGATGTGGAATGACACAGTTATGGTGTTTTGCAAGCACACGTGCAGAATGCTTGAAGTGGCAAACCATAGAGACGCCGTTCCTTGCAAGATCCATTGCAACGTTGATCAAAGCCGAGAGCTCACCATAATTTGTTGCGACTGATGGGCCCTGGCCCCTACTTACTTCGGAGAAGGCAGGGTTCGGGATCACGTTCTGCAAAGGTGGTGAGTCAAGTTTCACTGCATCCGAACTGTTTGCACCATGTGCTCTCCTTTCAAGCTGATACCTAGCAATCACAAACTTTCATGTTTGTAGCGAGATGGAGCTGCTCAACTTCTCTCTGGTTCTTTGCAGAGTTCGAGATCGAGCATAGCTCGTGTTTGATCTTGCTTTTCGGGTGCTTGTTTTTGACATGGGTGAGCAGGCTCCAACTGCCCGTTTGAGTGGCTTAGCTTGGGATTGGTTCCGCCAACCTGAGTTGGTGAAGCGTTGGTGGGAAACCAAGTGGACCAAGTCCATCCTCAAGGTGGCTGATGATAGTATACATGTCCTAATGCGAACGGAAAGACAAACAAGTCGTGTGCGCGTATATGTATATACATCTATAATCTATACATTATACATCGCGGATAGCGTGCATCCAACTTCAATTTGAGACCCGACGGCGGAGATGTCTCTGCCGCACCTGGTCCAGGCCCTCCACGGCCTCGCGCAAAGACCTGAGGCTTCTTGCAGCTCTCATTGGCACGGCAGACTGATCTGAGCCGAAGATCCGCTTTCTGCGGAACGATCAAGTGATGGTCCACTCCAACTTTGGAAAAAACATGAAAGAACCCACCCATGAGCCCATGACATGAGTCCGAGTTCCCTGTCGAAGAGTATTCCCACCCAGGCCCACCCACCTATGTTGAGTGGAGTGTAGTTTGTCACATGCTCGCCTTCTAAAAGCACCACTGCCACTCCCTGCGTCATCTTCCAAGCACCACACATGGGTTGTCATGTCAACGGGTGCATGACAACTCTGCACACACCTCTGCACTGAGCTTTGTCGCATCCTAGACACCGCGCGACACAACACAAATCGCTACTAGTAGGCAGGGACGCTATTAGGTGGTGGCCATCACAAGTAGGTTGGAGGCATTTGGAGGCTATCGCTACTAGATACTACATGATGCTACTAGTAACCAGGATGGTACTAGTCTCCATCTTCACCGGGGCTCGTTCTTCCGTGCCAGCCCTGAGAGCGTCTGGGCGGCCGCGGCACGCACGCGACCCTGAGCGTCACTGAGGCACTGCCGGATCCTGGGACATGACATGAGCCCATCCCATCCGTTGAGGTGAACAGCATGGGTTTGCATCTTTGTGGCTCCACGGGTTCAAAGCCTCTTGCAGTCCCAATGAAAACTGTAGACCAAGTAGTGAACAAGAACCGAAACCCAGAGTCAATGGTATGACTCTCGGTTAATAGATTTTAGTATTAGGCATTTTGGACGTACTGATTACTGACTGGCATAAAAGGCATGAGTGTGTAATGGATAAATATGTTGAACAGATCTAGAAACATGCGTATGCAACCTGCGTATGCCACATGCCACCTATCTATTGGCCTACACCCATCTATCTATCAACCTATCTATCTAAAACATTCCAAAGCCAGTTTCTCTCTCTCTCTCTCTCCCTCCCTCCTTTGAATATCTTGAAGCATGGTTGAGCTGACATGTTATTAACAAACAGAACACCATGAGCCCTCAGTCGACCAATGGGAAGCTAGTCGGCTTGTCTCAGGGAGGCCACCAACAAATGCAGGGCAATTGGAAGGCCACGGTCGAAACCCAATAGATTGCAACAATGCACCCACCACCAAGAAACATGAAGAAACTGAAACCATTCCATTCCACCCAATCATGTTGATGAAACCACTAGGTCACTAGGGGACTGCAGTGGTGCTTGAGCCTTGCAGAGTCTATAAAAAGCAAGGTTGTGGCACCTGTATCCCTGCATTTCAAAAAATAACTGCACGTGGACGAGGTTGTCACATGTGTTGCTTGTCACATGAGACATTTCCCCATCCGATCCTCTAGGCCCCTTCTCCGGCTCTCCTTGGGACCAGCTCTTCCGCGATGGCAATATGCCCCAGCGCCTTGACCGCCACCTCTCGAACCAGGGGCCGTCGATGCCGCAGCCGAGCACCTCGCAGCAGGGTGTTGGACAAGGGGTGACCTGGTTCAGGGTCCGGTGTTGGACGGGTCCTGAAGTGAAGAAAGCCAGGCAGACGTGATGCATGTGAGGGGCCACCTGGAGTGGATGCATTTATTTTCCACCAGATTAACATCCTTCACATAATCATAATCCTATGACCTACTAAGACCTAGCCTACACGTAGTACTATTGCATATTCATTAGACATCATGGTTGTGGATCACCCCGCTACCTCATGCTTGATGTGATTCTTGAATGTTTTGTTTCCAAAACAATTCTGGGACAGTCTTCTTGCGGTCCACGTTGCCCAGCACTGCGCAGGCCCGCTCCTTGCGGGAAAGAAAGGGCTGAGCGACTGCATGAACTTGGAAATGGGCAGTGGGCCGATGAAACTAGCCAGTCTATGCACTCCCGGTCCCTAGCACCTTTTGAGGAGGGTCATCACCCTTTCAAACTCAAGGAACTGTCAAGATGTTGGGAGGGAATGGAACTCCACCAGGCCTAGCCTATTCCTAACCGGAACCTTTTCATAGCTGTTCCTTCCCTAATTATTTCAACATATTTCATCATCGAATCTTCCAACCTTGGCGGGCTCTGTGGCGTTCTACTCCTTCCTGACTTTTGCAGAAGCCCTGCCGGCATGGGAATTGGTCCATCAAATTAATCCCAATTTGTGGCATTCATATGCCGCGAGTTGAGCCAAATGCTGAACACGACGAAAGCCCCCTTTTTCCTTCGGAGACCCCTCCCATGTGGCGTCAACCCCGCCGCTTGCGGGCCGTCAGCCCCGCCCCGACTTCTTGCAAGCAAGGTGCATGGCCACGCGGCGACAAGCAAGCAAGCTTCCAAATGGCTCCGGTCAGGTTGTGCCCTGCCACCGGCTGCCTCACCAGCTTGCAAAACACCTGCAGTGCCGGCCAGTTCGGTGACGCAGGGCCGGCGGGGTGAGGTTATGGACAGTTCTACAACAGGATGAAAAAGGTAACCATGTTTGGAAAGAACCAACTCAATGGTTGGATGAATGGTTGGCGATGGCATCGGATCCAATGATTCGGGTGTGTCTTGAGACTTTGAGCTCCTCCTGATGAGCAGGATGCAAGTAGCTGGTGCATAGTTTGTGTCCATCTCTGCTTCTCTGCGACCCTCCTGCCTCCAAGAGACCCTCCTGCAGCGCTTTGCGCATGGACGGAGATGTCTGTTGCAGTACCATGAGACTTCGAGCATCCTGCAGGGTCACAACCGGCTGCACATGTTGTGTGTTGTGTTTGCTTTGCTGCGTGGTGTCCTCAGAAGCCTCTGATTGCCCATGTCTTCAAGTGTGACCCCAATATTGTTGGTTGGAGTACACAATGAATATATATATATACATATATTCATCCCCAAGATTCATGTTCCAAGGAAGGGTGGTGTGTGGACCACCTCAAAAGGATCGCAGATTTGTTCGAAGTGATGGGTAGCCTCCCGCTGCCGAGAGGCATAATGCAAAGCCAGCTCCAGTTGCTGCAAGCAACGCCCCACGGACATCGCCAAGAAGATGCGTGGCGATCGACTTCGTCAAGGCTCCCCATCGCGAAGAGAGGGGCTGCTGTTTCGTCGACCGGATGGGTAGACTGAGGGAGGCTGTGCTTGGCAGTGCAAATCGAATGAAGAGGAAATCTCTGGTTTTGTCCCAGTGCGTAACTATATTTTGCAAAGAACAGCCCGATTGGTGGACCTTTCCCAGGATGATGTCTTCTGCGAATTATGGGGGCGAGGGTGCAAGACATGAAATGCGACTGTCATTATGAGGTGTCAAAGTATCTTGGAGACTCAGGCGGCCGCTATGAAGCTTGAAAGCAAGAACGAAACTGAAACACGTAGCTCAAGCTGGAAAACAATCAGCCTAAGCCTCCAGCAAACGGTTTGCAAGTAATCATAGAAGACCTATGTGATATTTCATCGTAATTTGACATCACATGGGTCCTTTGTGAAACTGCCAGGCCTCCCGCACCCGCCGGATGCTCGTCACTTCCCCCTTCCCCCTTACCCCGAATGTGGAGCCCTTATGAGCCCTTACGAAACCGCAGAAAGCACGACCCAATCAGCAACGAACCACCCGACTCGGCAACGAAACCGTCTGGCCATGAAAGGCATTCGGAAACACCCGGTCGTTTCTCCGGAGGAGAGTTGAACAGTTCTGATCTTGAAAAACGTCCGAACTGGGCACGGGGGGAGAGTCAATCTCCCTCATGTATAATCGGATAAAGAGGAACCAACAGCACCATGAAAACTGCAAATCGCCTGTTTAGGTGGATTCTGGCCAGAACAGTCACCAAATCTAAGCTGCCGAACACCGCTGCAGCTCATCCAACATCGTGTCAATGCCTCAGCACACAGCGGGTAATAAAAGAGAGTAAGGTCAACAGGATTTGAACATTTATATATCATTTTGACGGTGGCCTGCACTTTGGGTATTCTCACCACAGATTAACGGACCCGGAGCCCGGAGCAAGAATTGACATTAAAATGATATATCCTCAAAAAAACTGTCCCAAAGAGAAAGTTCCAAGGTACAAAAAGGTTCTCAAAAGGCGAGTCTCAGACAAAAAAGTTCAGGATGGCCGAGCTTCCATGATCAGTGGCAAGTTACGGGAAGTCTTTGCTCCAGGAGTGACTTTCATTTTGGGGTGTGTTGCTTGCAACATTGCCACTGACCACGCATCATCAGATCAGCCAAGACCATCAAAAATCGGTCCATTGCCTATAGTTTCTCTTTTTGGCCCACCCGGCGGCTCCGGAGCTTACCTGGGCATTTAGAAATATATACAGAAGATCATTCTAGTTGAAAGGCATCTTGGGTCAGAGCTAGCTCAGAAATGTTGAGGACATCATAGATCAGCTTGACTTGATCCTCGGCGCGCCTTTTCTCCAACTTTTGCGGTTGCTCCGGCCTCGTGCCGGTCCTCTGCTGTCTCCACCGGCACGGGCCCCTCTGCTGATGTACAGGGTCGCCGATCTTTTCTGAAATTGCCAATGCCCAAGTGGGGTGCCTGTGGCATTTACACGCACTTGGTTTGCTCCCTTCCAGTCGAAGTCGTCTCAAATCTATAGCTACCTATAGCTATGCTTTACCTGGTGAAGTATCCCGGCACCCCTTTCAACTCTAGACTCTTTGGCCAGTCCCCCCGTCAGAGGCATGTGCCGTGCCGTTGTAACGCGGGTGAGGTGAGACCTTCAGTGGAGAGACTTGGAGCAAACAAAACTGCCATGAAAAAGATCAAAAGCAGAGTGCTGCATGCAACCAGCAGACCTACCTGACTTCATGCATCTATCTTACACCACTGGACCAAATAAGTTTGGTGCTACCACGCCCCCAACGCATTCAGCGCTTGCCACAAGGAGCTGATTCTGAGAGGCTCCCGAGCGCCTCTCCACTGCACGGAGTGGGAGAGCGCTTCGAAGAGCGCTCCGCTTCGGCGGTCAGACGATCTGTTTCTGCTCGAAGTGGTTTCGGAGGTATGTGAGCTGAAAAGCCGCCAGGCTAATCAGCACAGCCTGGGTCTGGCGGATTCGTGCACGCCTGGATGGAATGGGAGCCAGTGCCGGATGAATCGGGGATCGAATGAAATGGAGCCAGGACTGAAAGTCCCCCTTTGACTGAGGGCAATCCCCACTAAACTTTAAACCATTCATTTGGAGGCCGGAAAGGTGCAGAGTTTGGTAGAATCGGAAAACCGTGAGAGAATGCGGTTTAGCAGACTCCCATCAAACGGCCATCTGTGTCGCAAATGTTCAGCCCACAGCTCTATGGGGCAAAGGCCACCTCAAATCTAATTTGATGACCCAATGACCAAATGGCTAGGCTGTATCCGAATATCATCGAATATCCCAATGACTCAATGACCAAATGAGTCATGCCACATGAATGACCAATGAGTATATGGCTAATTGTGATATCTAGAATTTGATGACTCAATGACCCACTCTCCCGTGCCTTGGCACCCAATTTCCGACGATGGCACTTATGGCTGTTGATTCTGTTCAACTCCTTAGGCCCCCTCCTGACCCACCATACCAGTGCTTCCCATATCTTCCAATCATGTCCAGGATTGTCCGGGTCTCCATATACTCTCCCCGGAAACAACCTGGAAAGTGACAAAACGCATTGGTGTGCGGAAGAATGGTCTTAGTCTTCCAAGTTTCCAAGTGGACATGTTCCACTTCCCATGTGAGTTCGCACTTTATCCATCTCTTCAAAATTCAAAACCACCACCGCAAAACCCGCCTCAGAACCCACCTCGCGGCCAAGCGTCCACCTCCGCAAAGGTCCACCACATCACTCGGGCGTTGGTCGACTCCGCCGTCTCCCGATGGACCGCCTGGCGCTGACGAACACCAATGCCGCGAGTTGCGTTGGGCGGTAGTTGGCCTAGTTGGCCATGAGTGTCCACCGATTCTGCCGGGCCATGAGTGTTGCATCGGCTTTGGACGGATGCATTTCCATGCTTAGAGGCTCATCTTGTGATATGCAAACGTAGCAAATGCCAGTCACAATGAAGTTGCAGCTCACAGTCTTGACGCATCGCTCCTCGCGAGTAATTGCATACCGCTGTTGGTCCAGAATGTCGTTGGCTTTTGCATGCAGCTTGCCAACCAGCTCCTGCGCCGTTCCCCAGGGCTAGTCTTCACATTGTCTCACTGATTCGGAACCCACGAGACGAAACACCATCGGCCATCGGCTATTCTTCACTCAAGCTTCCGAGCGTACATGTTGCAATCAAGCCTTGGCCCAAAATCTTCGCACCAGCAACCATACCCCTCACACCAAGGCAACACACCTGCCCACCCAACATCCATCGCAAAGGAAACAGAACCGGGCGAAGGAGCAGCGAAAGAAGAAGGGAAGCAGCTCCTCCACCCTGTCGGTGTGCTCTTTCGTGACATATTCCATGTGCTCCTTATCGTGATGACTTCCTGGGCCACACGGCGGCACGCCGAGTAGAGTTCGCACGCGCGCACGGGTCGGCACGCACCGGAGCATATGCAGTGTCGGTGATCGTGGCGTTTTGAAGAGCAAGAGCTAGAGCTGATCTCATAGAAACACCGTCCGAGCCCCCGTGCCATCGCCGTGCTCATCCACGTGGAAGTTGAAACTCACCTCATGCGATGACACAGCTCTTGGTGACATTTGTGGACCAGGGTCGAGGGTGCTTCCCTACTCCAGTATACAAGTATGTATATTTGCGTTTTGTTATGATGCACCTCTTAAAACCATGTTATTGTACACACCACTTTTTCATGTAATCTATAGACATACCTGGTCATTCTGAGGAATCTAGGCAGCCTTAACCCAGCAGAAAGCAAGATGGTCCACAGAGTTGCCCGTCGCCCTCGTGCCCCTTGCCCCGTGCGGTCCGGTCGCCATCTGACTCTCTTCGGCCACGCTGGTGAAGCACAAGCTATGAGGCGACTCCTCCGTCACCTGTTGAGCCAAGCTATGCGGAGGTCGTGTGGATTCTTGTGGGGTGTGTAACAGGTGTATGGGCTGGGGGACCCTTCGGCACGGTTCACGTCTGGCACGACCCCGCGACGCTGCCATGGGCCACGTTGCCTCGATGCTAAACTTCCCAGAAGGGCTGGCCTGGGTCGTTCGACCGTCGATTCCAACCCGGTCAGAACAACAGTCCGACCGTGTCGAAGCCCCAGGAAATTCCACAAACATCCGGCATGCGCGTGGTTCGAGGACAAATCATGCAATATGCACCCCCCTCCAACAGACATGAAAGTGGACCAGGGGTTGGGTTCCTTCCATGATTGTTGGAAGGATACCCCGATCTCCAATTTATCCACAGAGCAGAGTCAAAGCAGTGGAGATAACTAACAAAGCTCCTAATAGAAACATGTTTCGAAACATCATCTGAACGGCAACAAACTTCAAAAACAAACCGGAACTAACCAAACAATCTGGCCCCAGAATCTCAGAAGCTTTGCTCCAACAAAAGCTGCAGACTTCCGCCACTTCGGCCTCAACCCTTTGGGCCAAAGTCTTCAGGCCGGGCCCTCGGGCATTTCTGAAGAGCTCCTGGAAAACTGATGAAGAACTGCAAGGTTTTTGTATACCCTAGAACCTTTCTAGAATTCCAACCACCTTTTATTTGATTGTTCTGCTACGGGTTTTAGATGGTTTTAGACTGCAAAACCAGGCCAACCATTTTTCAGGAAGGCTAGCGTACAAATGTATGTGTATATAATTGTATGTATATGTACCTATAAATATATATTATATATACTACACGCATATTGTGAGTGGATGTAATCCCATGTAATCCCCCGGGTACAGTACGCCGTACGCAAGGGAAACAACCAAGGTAGTGCTCACCCCTCATGTGTCCCACGGCCAGCCGAAAGCGACAGGACGCACCGGCCCTGTGTGGGCTACTAGTACCGGCAGGGTTCACACACATCATCCAGAACACACAATGCCAGCGTCGGTGATGGACGTCCCATCATTGCCACCCTGCCATGCAAAACCAGTTGATGCCTATTCCCCCGGCCCCTCCCAAAAAAGTACACAGGAACCGCCAGGAAACACATGCCCGATCATCCCCAAACACCTTTCCCTGCAGTGACTCCCCCGGAAAGAGAAAGGGACTCCAGGGCTTTCAAGTCCCTCCGGCTCACTCCATCGACTCGTCCATCGACTCGAAAAAGGCGGCTCGGCGGTGGAACTGGTCGTCCATCGGCAGTCCATCAAACCCGGTCCATCCGCTCCTTGCCAGAGCTGGTGGTCAGTTTCACCACGACGCCCTCGTTGGGACCATCGGCCTCCTGGAGACGAGGCAGAGAAGTAAGGGACCGGGAGGCCGGAAGCCTTTTGGAGGAGAATGCTCCGTTCTGGAGAATTCCCTGTGATCCTGGCAAGTTCTTTTCGTGTGGAGGGGTTGAAAGCCCTATCGCTATGGTAGCGAGCTTCATTGTGTCTTATATTCCCTTTTTGTGAGATGCCATTGTTGATATTTCCTTGTTGATCTTGTTGTGAACTCCAGTTAGTTTGGGAGGCCTCATTCCAGGCACCCGTGGTGAATCAACAGTGCTGAGGAACAGACACCCTGCAAACTCAATCTGCGTTCTCTTTACAAATAGTTATTCAGCATTATTGAGCGCTTTTTCAGAGTAGGTTGGACAAAAGAACCTAGCGGTGGTATGATCTTCTCATCTAGAATGGTGTATGGCTTTGCCATCTACTGTGGACCTACCGTCAAGGCCTCCGACAACTAAGATGAACCGTCAGATAGATTCGAACAAACCCACGGAAAATGACATTCCTTCGCTGATCACCTTTGTTTTATGTTGTTTGTGCACCTACTACACTCCCCGGAATTAACATGGAAGTGGAGAATGGCCCCTCGGAAGACCATGAAATCCACTACAAACAGGTGGTGAACTCCACTTCCATGTTAGTTCCAGGGAGAGTAAATGTTTTTCACTGACTGAAGTAAGAATACCCAAAAAGCAAGTCGCAAAACACCGAGGCTGACCGAGGCGACCGAATACCGGCTTTTCTTCCGTGCCAAGCGTCGTAGCTGCCGTGGACCAGGTGACCTCTACCAGGAGACACCTTGAAGCATTCCTTGGCCAAGCAGCGGCATTGTCCAACTTGTGAAGAGGGAGGAGGGTATGGGAACATCATCCACAGCTTACGTTCATGAGAGTGGTTCGATAGTTTCTAGGTTGGACCATCTCCTAGTACAAACTCTGCCCCAAAAAAATCATCTGCAAACTGTACTCTCTACTTATCGTCGGCATACAGTTCGACAACTCCTCTGCATGTGTCAGCGTATGTTGGCTTGTTTTTCCTACCCATTCTTGGATCACTACCTTCCAATTCTAAAAGGGAGAAGGACGCCCAAGGTTCACCGGAACACCCGTGATCACCCATGTGGATCCTCCTGCTTCTCCAGGCCACGGCTTTCCCACCGATCGTTGCACACGCGTGTTTTACCCGAGGCCCTCGCGGCAGGGCCGGCGCTTTGAGCCTTCAACTCGAAGAAGAGGCCTGTACCTTGGGGGATGTGGCTAGCTCGTGGCTGTGATCATTCCATCCATCCCAGGCTAGCTCATCCCTCTTGCTTCGCCAGGTGGCACGAGCGCACCAAGAGCACCAAGACCGCACGATGCATGCTGCACCTCAGTCTCAGTGAGCTTGGTGGCATCCCAGTCCACCAAGTGGATTGCCGCCAACTTAAATCGATTCACATAGAAACAGGTGAATAATGGTGAATAAATTCTGAAAGCAGCCATCATTCGCTAAACAACTTTGCCCCAACATTTGTATGATTAGTTGATGCCCGAACCATCCACAAACCAACCATTCATGTTTGGAAGATCCAAACCGGTAAAGTTAAGGAAGAAACGACTCTCCACCGGCTCCGCTCATCCCTTCAACTCATCCGGCTCCGCGCACGGCCGGGGCCCAGGCCGGCCCTGGCCCACCAGGTGCTGCCGGATTGACTGAGCCCAAAGATTTGCCATCCAGTCCAGCCAGCCCTGCTGGATGCAGTAAGAACCCAGGATTCCGCTGGATGGAGTACGGACAGTCGGGTCAATACTGTATTGATCACGTTGCAGCAGTTGTTGGTTTTGTCCGTTCACCCATTCATGCCTGTGGTTGGAGCAGGAACTGACTTTTCCGTTTGAAGTGATTCATGCCGCTTCATGGGCAAACTCGGTCACAGAGTCCCGGAGTCCCTGTGCACCGCGTCCGGACTGGCCAAGCACCGCTCTGGGCACCCAACGTTTGTAGGCCACGATGTTTGGCCCTAGGTCCACGCCTCACCGAAGCATAGCTGAACCAGGGACCGAGAAGCGGCCAGTCACATTGGTGCGATGGACTCGCAAGGCATGCGTCCACGGAGGAAACCGAGTCTCAACTGTCTCTCTCATAGATTAGATTCGATTCTATTCGGTTGGCTTAGGTTAGATTAGGTTAGATTGATCGATTGGAGTCAACGATTAGGTAGATTAGATACACCTGATAAATCAGGTAGTTAGATAGTTAGCTAGTTAGTTAGTTAGTTCGTTTGTTGGTTGGTTGGTTGGTTGGTTGGTTGGTTCGTTAGCTAGTTGGTTAGTTAGTTCGTTAGTTGGTTCGTTAATTACTTTGTTATAAGCTAGTTATTAAGTATATATATATAGATAGATCTTGTGTCTAATGGTGGGTGAATATGTCGTTGCATCAGTTCATGATGCACACGATCCAAGCCCAACTCTCACCCTGAGCTCCCAGGCGAAACAAATGATTGCGTCCACCCCGCCTGGAACCGGCAGCAAGAAAACACAACTGGACCTTTTTTTCGAGTCAAAGGCCTCCACTCCAAGTGCATCGCCTCGAGGATTAACAAAACTTGTGGCAAGTCCCAACACTTCCATCCTTGCCCTACTTGATCAATCACAGAAGCGTCTCTCCAAGGAGCATCAACTTGCACAAGCCTACATCCTACGTATGTCGTTAGCGAGTCTGGCAGAAACCAGCGCGAAGATGAGCAAGCTACAGTCCCCTGCCTAGTGGCTTCACATCCTTCCCATTCACTGCAATTGCAGTTGTTCAATCAAACTAGCCTGACCACCTGGAGGCCCTACACTTCCCGCTGAACGTCGCCCCTCGCCCACCTGCCGGCGGGCAAACGCTCGTACCTCAGGTCGGATTCGAGACGCCCTTGTCTTCGTCCCAACACGTCGCCTAAGGCTCTGCAGCTGTGCCGACTGCCAATCAACAGCTGTTGATTCACAGCTCCACGGATCTTGCGTTTGTTGGCCATCCAGGTCCGGAAGTTGGTTATTTTTTGTTGCACGTCCATTGATCTGTCCAAGCCTCCCACGTGGTCACAACCATGATGCAATCACTTGAGATTGCCTCCACCTCCCAAGTCCGACCGGTCGAGAGGTCGAGCTGCAGGCCGGGTCGAGAGGCTGTTTGACTCGGAGAATCTGGTGTCCGTTCGTTGTCCAGTAGAAACTTCACGGATGAAAACCCAAGAATCGAATCACTGAACCTACAATAACCTACAAACTGACAAGGCATTGAGCGATCAAACAGTTTGTTGCTCAGGGTTTTGTGCTCGTCGAGAAGTTGTTTGACAACCTCCGGAGCCAACAAGCATCCGCTTTCAATTCCATCTGAACAGAGAAGTCCTGTGGGTGTCCATCACACCGCCAAGAGCTAGATAACTACATATAACTACATAGACCCCCTGAATCCGTCGAATTGCCGGATTCCCCGGACTGGCACGGACCCAAGAGCCACACGATTCCCCAAACGACCCGCCTCGCCCGAGATGGTCCTCGTGGCGTCTTCCACATCCACGCCGCCATCCACCGTGCTGATCAGTACCGTGCGACCTGATTAGAGCGGCGCACGAAACGCGCACGCGGCGGCGAAGCCCGGACGCGTGATGGCTCCGTTCTCTTTTGTCAGGCGCGTAGGTTGGGCATCATCTCCCAGAAACAGCGGATGATGTTGGTGGGGAAAGGCCTGTCTCAACAATATGGTGATAGTATTCTCCGACTGTTACTGGCAATGGGCTTGCGGTCCACAAACACCAGCTGGGCCAATAAAGCAGGCATCTCTGTGCAACTTTACGTACCTTGCAGAACCCAAACACCGCTAGTCACTGCCACTGCTTGTAGGCCTTGGGGCTAGGGTTTGCTGGGCCTTTTGCTGCAACAACCACTTTGGCAACAAACCCAAGCACCAGAGAGTCCTCTCTCTTTGGCCATCCGCTCGTCTTCCGTCTTTTCCTCTGCTCGGCCCGCTCCGCTCGATCGGCTCGGGGCCTCTGGAAATCTCGCTGAGGTATGGCCTTGTTCCGGAACGGATGTGGTTCCCCAACCGGGGTCCCGGTTCCAAGAGCAGAGCAAACGGTGTTCTGAAGGAGGATTGTGAGCAACTGGGATCCAGAAATGTGATTCCATCATCTTCAACCAGCCGTAAGTGTACACCGCGGTATCTAAGTGTGTGTGTTAGAACCGAAGCTAAATCCAAGCTTGAGCTGTTGAGGCGTGCTTAATTTCACCACTCCCCCCAAACAAAAACAACTTAACATAGTTCACACCATCCTGCCACCATGATCCTTATATATATATAACTATTACAACCAGCCAGGCTGTTGAAAGTCCCGGGACGGGTGGAGGACTGCTGAAGCTTCGGCGGCTGCGACGCCCCTGGGCCGTCCCGTCACAGCACCCCACTCGTAGTACAGCCTCGCAACCCGCGCGACCCCACTCACGGCTCTGCTGGGCCATGCCAGAACTACTCATTACACGGTTGTTCAAGAAGTGCTAGGTTGTGAAAAATGTATACATAGATCCTCTTCTAACATGTCTTCGGTTCTGCGTCCATCTGTAGGGTGGCCACATATGGCCACTGCAACAAGCAAACCCATCCAAACAGCAGGTCCGTGGTGAATTCCGCATAGTGGGCCACAACATGTGGACACTGTATAGATCCTTGATAGAGCTATGCATTTGGAGATGTTTGAAGAGGATAAGGCACCCGTGCAAAACTACATAATAGATTGGCAATTGCATGCAAATGCAAATGGTATCTTTTCATTAAATCTCTGTCTCCAAGGATGAGAGAGTAAAGGGAAAAGACAGACTCACCAATATGTCTGTGAGTGAAACTAATGACCAACCATATGTTTCATCTAGGGACATAAGATTTATTATTGCCAAACTAATAATATGATCACACAATCCTGAATTGAATCCGCATTCTGAACAAATACTGGCTGTTTCATCTTCGGTCTTTGGCCATCCCAGATATGGGTTGCGGGTTGCAGGAAGGCCATCCCAGGCCCTGTTCCACCTCCTTTCCTTTCGCCCTTCCAGCTCCCTTCGGCTCCCTCCCTTCGGCTCCCGACGTGATGCGGCCGGCGCTGCGATCGAACTCCGCGCCGAGGCCCACGATCTGCACGGTGCCGAAAGGGTTTTTCAGACCAGGTCACTGAGGTCACTGGATGTCTTGATTTCTTAGATGTAGCTTGATGTCTTTGGAGGGGGAAGTCTAGGTCTCTAGGTCTGACATGTTAGGGCTGACATGCACAGGACATGTTCGGGGATTCGTACCACCTATTGGTGGAGTCCGTGTGGTTCAGCAACGGTCGCTCACGCAAATGACTTCTTACAGGTAACGCGGAGAGTCAATCCCGATCAGGAAAAGCTGACAAGCATCAATCAATATCATCAATGATCGGATCTAGGTGCCAGACACCAGTCCCATCTGCAACTAACTGGTTGGGATTTCGCTTATTGACCTGGGCGTTTCGGTCACCCAAGCATCTCTTCTTGAAAAACTTCCAGGCGCTTGTCCCCAAGTCTTGCATGGAGGCTGCACTGAGCCGCCAACCCGTTCCAGCACTGCTTCCTTCTCTGCCTCGTACTCCAGCCTTAGCATACGGTCATTATGTGACGCACTTGTTCTTGTATTCCCTCTGCGCGTCATTTTAGGTGATTCAAATCGCTTAAAGGTAAACAACATCTGCATCCACAAAGCCTGTTCAGCTGTTTCTCAAGCAAGGCCAAGTGCTTCAACCAGACCCATACACGCTCAAAAAAAGCACCGGCTACACTCAGTCAGCTTCGTCCAGCTCTCCCGAGATCTCGAATCTCGCATGAAAAACCGGGGCGCCAGGCTCAAGGAGTGAGCTGAAGTGCTTCACCTCAGCAAAGCAATTTGAGAAAGCAGCAGCTGAGCTGCTCTGCAAGGATTTCGGGATTCAAAGAGGCCAAGGAACATGAGGGCAAAAGTCATTCCCTGCCATCCGGATGTTGGTTTGAATGCTTCATTCCTGAATCCCTTCCAGGTCTTGGCAGTCCGGAACCCGGTTTAGACACTCACTAGGCCGCAGGCCTTTCTCAGGTGGAACGAATCTGGACTAGGATCGTTCTACACCACCTATACAAAGACCACCCCCGAAAGAAATTTAGTAGATCTCGACCCCCACTAAGAATGTCCTGGAAACCGTGCCACAGTCATCTATTTTGGGATCACTATTACATACCAGGGGCCCCACAAACCATCAAGAACCTGGTTTATCCCCTAGCAAAAACCATAGTTTGTGCATATGAAAACCTTTAGTTTTCATGGTTTGGTTCGGGCCCCTGGTATCTACGTATAAATCAGGTCCTTTCAGATCGGAGGCTCGAGATCACCGGCCTCTCTCGCCTCTCGGGGCGCCAGCCACGGAAACAACGACTCCAACGGCACACTGGGGCAGTGCAACGTAAGCATCCAATGCTCCTCTCCATTCCTCCATTCTGCGATTTCCAATGGTGAAAAAGGAATCCAGAGCTCCCAGAGCTCCCAGAGCTCGTATCGTTTCATGACCATGCAGTGGAGTGGGCACATGCTCTCCCGAGTCGCCCGAGTATGGAGCTGCATGCTCATGTTGAGCTTCACCATGTGCTCTCGGAGCATGACCCTACAAATGACTCAAGAAGTAATCAGGTATTTTGTGGGGCATGGGTGAGGATGAGCATGTTTTCGATGTGTCAAGAGTAGCATGTGCTGAGCATGTGGAATTCTGTCGCGGTGGTTTCTATGTCTTTCAAGTGCATTGGTGTGCGAGGGCCGTGCCCCTCGCATGGGACACTGATCACTGATGTATCATCGAAACTCCAGTTACGTACAGGGTTGGTGCAGGAGCCATCAAGAGCCACAAGCATGAATTTTCACTAACTCCAATGATATAAAGTGTGTCTATCCATGTCTATTCATGTCAATGTGGCTCTCTAATGTTTAAACCCAAATCGACGTCGCGGCCTGTGGTCACTCACTCACTCACTCACTCACTCTCTCTCTCTCTCTCTCTTTCTCTCACTCTCTCGCTCTCCCTCGCTCTCCCTCCTGCGTGGAGGCGGACCTGGCACGGCGAGTCTCGGAGTGACCCAGCAATGTCTGTGGTCATCTTGAACAAATTCGTGGCATGTCATCCCTCGATATCATCCATGGAAGTGGAACATCATCTGTTTGTGGACGGGAAACTGGAATTGTCCATTTCCATGATTGTTTCAGGAAGCGTTTTCCATTTCCATCTTAGGAATCCACTGGGTGCGGAGTGACTCACCTGTGGATTGCGAAGGTATGTTAACCCATTTGGACGTAGAGTCTTGACGTCCACTCCCCGAACTCAGCTGGTGTCTCAGAGGGACCGGCTGGTGAGTGGGGTGTGTTGGCCCCGTTCATCCTTTTCCACCCTCCAATAGGAAGGCTTTGGTTAGGAAGTTGGTTTGAAAGCGGTAGTGGCGTCCCCACCCTTAAGTTGCTTGAGGAGTAGATGAGTGGTGACGAAAGGAACAGTTTCTGGGGCAAGTCCATCAAAAATGATTGGTTGCGGGAACCCTTTCCCCTTTCGGAGATGCACCAAGCTCTGCAAGTTACCGGTTGGTGCACTTTTGAACTTTGCCAAGTTGTGCTTCTTCACACCCCTAACATCATAGGTCCACCAAAATAGCTGCAATCCATTGAAGAATCAGAATTGTTGCTGAATTCTCTAGCCAGCCAGCCAACCAACCAACCAACCCAGCAAAAGCTGTCTGGCCGTAACGCCGCCACCGCGCTCGGTCCCCCTGGGCACCCCCCGCACTCCCGCTTCAGCGGCCGTGCGCCAGCCGTAGGCGGTGAGCACGAAGCCGCCCCCCGAGTCGCCCCCCTGCGGAAGAGCCCCGAGTTCGGACGTCGGGTTCGCCGAGTTCGGTCGCTGGGGCACCGGTGCCGAACCAAGACCTCCCAAATTCAAGGTCTAAGGACCGGGTCTGAAGGCCAAGGTTTGGACTGGTGGTCGCTCGGAGCTGTTCCAACAAGTCGAAGGGTCCAACGGTCCAACAAGGCCAACAAACTGCAGATCAGGTTTTCCAGCTGCTAAGATCCAACGGCAGCTTTCTTGTCCCGTTGCAGTCTGGGCAATTCGTCGCAAAATGGCATCTGGGATGTAAAGTTGTCAATAAGTTCAGGTTTGTTATGAATGAAGTGTGTTACTCACTCCCTTGAGAGCTCTTGATTGACACCCATCTCCAGAAGAGAGACATGAATCCTCCAGCCGCTTCCTCATCCCCGCCTCCTCCTGCACGTCCTCCATTCCTGCGACATCAAGACATATCAAGATCTGCCGGAACGGCTTTCCGGCCCATCTGTACGACCGCAACTGTTCCCATCTCTTGAGCCACTATCAGTCTGCTCAGTAGGACCAGGCCCATCATCCAGGACATGCCCGAGCCAACTCACAAGTTGCGCCTTCGCCTGGTTTGGGCTGCTTGGGATGTGGCGCCAAGACGCCCTGGCCAGAAGCGGTGGCGCCATCCCGAACCGAACCCTCCGAAAACCCATCCCTCAGCCAGCCACCCGTCTCCTCGTCTCATCTCCTCTCTCGTCCCTGTCCCCTCTCCTTCGCGCCTTCGGCGCGGTGGAAATCCACGAGAAGCCGCCCAGCAAGGGAGGCGCGCCACCCCGCCCATCGAAGGAGACCGAGAAGGTCGCTTCTTTGGTGTAAACCTTTGGAGGTGAGATGTGAAACTGGAGGAAAGCAATGGGATCTGAAGGATGGCGCGTGTCGGCTGGGTGTGTTTTGGGTGGCATGTTCCCAACCAATTTGGGCTGGAAGGCTGGTCAGGCTGGGTATGGGGGGGCCGAATCGCGTGTGCCGCGTGAGCACGACAATCTCCAATGTTCGTAGGTTGGAGGCCATCGCTTTTAGGTTGGAGGTCATTAGCAAGAATTCTCTGTTACGCTTCTCGCTTGGCAGCGCGGAGCCGGAGGCCCTCCCTCTCTCTCTCTCTCACTCGGGAGCGACGACCTGAGCTCCAGGTGCCCAGGCGTGCGGAAAGAGCGGGTATCCGTGGAGATCCCGGTTGAGGCTGAAGGCCTCGGAGTTCGATGTCACACGCTTGCTTGGCGGCCGTCAACCAAGACCAAACCTTGCTTGGTTGATTGGTTGGTTGGGTGGGTGGTTGGGTGGTTGGGTTGGTTGTTGGTTTCCTGAGCTAATTCCTTCGAAACAAACCTGATGAAGTCTTGCACTTCTCAAATGAGAGATGATGACATCGCATCCCAAGCTTCTGCGAGAGATGTTCACATCTCAAGCTATGCGACCCCTGCATGCCTCGATCAATTCGGTGCAGCATACATCCAAGCGCAGCGCGTCACCAGGAATCTCACGGCCGTTCTTCATGTACCTTGGCCAACGCTCATTGTGACAATTGTGGCGTGATAGAAGCACACTCTACGTACTTCATTGAAATGGTAATGGGAAGACACCAACAAACGCCCGAGACTCAGGACATTAGACGGCTCCAGTTTCCCTTGCGGCAGGTGCAATCGAGTTTGTCAGTGAGCTCGTAGCTTGCACATCGCACACCTCAACAACCCTACTCTACCTCGCAAAACTCGCAAGTTGCGACCCCATAAGCCCCCAACTGAAACGTCGAGCACTCGGAGCCCCAACGTAATGGCACGCCGGTCCAGATCCAGGCAACAGGTGATGGCCTTGGTGGTTGGGATGAGTTGACGGCCTTCCCGGTAGCTTTCACTTGAGCAGAATCTGAACAGCAAGTAACACATGTCACATTCCAACACAAATAACGTTCACCTCCCAGAAGAAACTAGGTAGTGTTCGGATGTGTTTGGATAGGTGGTTACTTCTTACCATATGGCAGTGCTTGCTGCCTTCCTTGAGACACTCCAAAACTGCCATCCTACACAAAGCCTCACCAAGCCCTGCCATCCCTCCCATCCTTTTTATACCCTGGGAGGTAGCATGGTCTTTGCCCCTGGCCCGCCACGTGGTGGGTGCCTCGAGGAAACTCTCCGCGACTGCGTGAAGTTGTTTCGAAGCTCACGCCGCTGCGTGGTGGTCTTCCCGCCCGGCGGGCGCGGCGTCAGAAAGGCATCCTCGATCCACTCCTCGCCACGCGTACATCGTGAGGGCATGGATACCATCAGTCTGGGAGAGGCCTGGTCAACACATGGTATTCCGCCTCCTGGTACCAAACAGGTTTTGACAGGTTTCCAGAGGCTGAAGCTGAGGACACGATTTAAGATCTCCAAGATTCTGGGAGGTCTTCCCAGCCAACCTTCTTGGCTTCGTCGATGATCTCTGCAACCTCCCGGATGCCTGAACCATCCTCACTCATTGATGTACACGTCACGATCTTCCAAACAGTCTGGCCTGGGGCATGCCAAGGCGCTGCCGCTATCTGAATTCTGGTGCTACCTTCTCCAAGAACAATAACCATACGTGAACCTAACACTTGTGTAAAAACACCACCTAGATCACCGGCTGCTGCTGTCAGGCGGTTCCTTTGCGCGTGCTGGGGGACATGTGGCTTCTGCAATTCTGTGGCCGTCCAGTTTCACGCACTGCCTTTTGGACCCCAGTTTTCAAGTGTCAAACCGAAATCTATCTCTCAAGTCTAGGCATGTCCCAAGCAAACGAACCTGCGTTCGGGATCGGATCATCGGTTCTGATGCCTCATATGAAGACGTTCAAAATCGAATCAAGTGGTACACAAAGCGAAGGTGTCTAACATTCAGGCCAGGCTGCTCCCTCATCTTCCCTTAATTTGATGTTTGGAGACCATCTTCCATGTTGATTCGCTGTGTCAAAGGGCCAACATTTCTTGAACTTGAAATTCGGAACTCCGCCTTACTGCACGCCAGAAATGGTTCTATTTGAGTTACTGTAGCTCTTTAGTCTTGATGGTGTTCTCATTGGTTGGTGGTGTGCTATATTTAGAGAGACCTGTGCCAAACAGTTTCCTCCACCCGAGCTAGGGAACGCAAAGACATGCAATGACGCGCACGGTGCAATGCGTTTGTTGGCTATTGTGCTCCAAGAACATCACACCCATCTCCAAATGTTGCTCTCCCATGCTGGGGGCGGCTCCATCCGTTCTCCATGTGCTCATTTCGAGTGGCCCATCTCCTTCAGCCGTGCACCCACTTGCTCGGCGAAGCGCTCCACATCAGCCGGGCTGGACGCCAGGTCTGTCTTGGTGAGGATTACCACCTTGGAGGTGGTCAAAAGACACCCACGGCCCCTCGACCAAGAAAGAGACCAATTAGTACGAAGAATTCCGGGCGACTTCGAACGAAGCACATGGAATCTCATCGTGGTCTGTCTCTTTCGCACGGTTGGTAGCCACATGGCTACCCTTGCACCATTCAACCAAACAGCCTGCTCAGCGCAATCCCACCGGCCGCCCAATAAACAAGAAGCATAAAAGAAGTTTTCCCTTCCTCACCTACCAAAGGGCGCCACGTAACGAGCCACGTAACGAAAGGGCGCGATCTGGCGGCGAACCCTTTCTTTCTCACACTTTTGAAAGATCTCCACCAGCTGCTCATCACCTGCGCGTGAATCGAAGTTCATTGATGGGTTTGAGCAGGCAGCGGCTGCACATGACATTAATGTTCCATCCTTGGAATGCTTTACTCCCAGCAAAAGTGATGAAAGCCATGATGCAACGCAGGTGTTGCAGTCGGCTATCGCTATCGTTAGTGCAAGGGGGAATCTTAAAAAACTCTTCGCTTGGCAGTGTGGTTTCTCGTGGACCACCACTCTGCCTTGAACGCGGCCTTCCCCTGCACCCACAAGCTCCCACCCAGCAAACCAAATTACTATACACCGTTCTGAAAGTTTCTGGCGCAACATAGGGTTCCCGGGAGAGTTTCCAGATGCGCCATCAATGTATTTTTCCTCGCTAGTTTGCACCTGTAGATGGCGCATTTATAGGGAGAGGGGGGTGCAAAAATGCAAGCACAAGAAAAAATAAGCTTGCAAAAACAAATGAAAAATCCACGCTATAGATGGCACAATGCCCATCGGTCCAAACCCATTCAAAATCATTCAAAGCAGTTCAAACCCCACTCAAACCCATCGGCGCCCATCCTACTCTGTCTTTTACTTTTCCTCTTTCTCTTTCTCTTTCTCTCGCCCTCTCTGCGCAAAAAGATTTTCAGCCAGCTCTGCTTTCTAACTGGAGTATATAGATGGAGCGCGCCGTCAGGGGTCTCCGAGTACGAGGTGTTTAAGCCTAAATCTCGTCCTTTTTATACTGTCGGGATGCCTACTGATGGCGCAACTCTACTGTGGTACTCTGGTGCTCGTAGGTGGCACTATTATTTGTTTAACCCATCTACTTTCTGGACGGAGTATATATAATATATAGTTATGTTATATGTAACATAATGCCGTACATATCCCAACCTCTGCATCAGTTCCCCTCGCCACCACTGTCGGTCGGTCACGTCGGCGGAAGACCGGCAAGCACACCATCCTCACCATCTCCTTCGGCTGAACCATGGAAACACAGGCACCTGGTCCTCAAGCATCGCCAAACACATGGATGTTGAAGGAAAAAAACCTTGGCCCATCCTGGATAGCTCATCCAGGCGTGGGCGAATCATGCAGCTTTTTGGGGCACCTGACAGCACCACATCCAGGGCCCCAAAAGGTTCTTGATGAGCAATTGCCTGCACTGGCTGGTGCAAAGCAACAGCAGCCAGTGCAAGCGCAACATGGCGTTTGCATGGAACACCAATGTCCTTTTTCAGGTGAAATGAGAGAGGACAATTCATGTTCAATGCTGCGGCCCAGCATCTGTCCACAACCAGAGAGATTATGGAACACAGTGTAAACGACAATTATTCTCATGTTTTCTTCCGAATGCCCCCAGCCGGTCTCCCATCGGCAAGGTTCCCTTACCTGGCTCGACAGGGCTGCCCCTGGGCGCCTTCGGAGAGTTGTCCCTGCTGCTCGCAGCTCACCAGGTGGCAAACCATACCTGATGGATGAAACGACATGCTTTGATCGCAGTCCTGCACCCGATGCTGCCTGCAGGATGGACTGTGGGAAGCGTTGCATATATACAATTTTTTAAAAATATATATACAAATACTCACACCCATTGTTCTCACCCGCGCATGCAGTCATGTGTCAGAAATTTAAAAGGAACGTTATGATTTATATGAGAAAGGCAAAATGTCGACCCTGCCAGAACCAGCACGGACGCACGCCCCTGTATCCTGCCAAACCAGGACCCTGGGCCCAAGTAATTAAGTTTTTCTCGTTATGACACAGGAAATTAATTTTCTCCCCACACTGGGTTAGACCTTCGTTGATGTACAGTCGCGCTGTCCGAGCTGCTGCCCACCGCTCCAAAACCAAAATCCTATCTAAAGACCAAGCGACCCAAGGCCCGGCGTTCGCTCACAAAGCCCTGCAGCAGGGGAGCCCAGGTTTGGAGCCGCGCAGCTCTCAAAGAGTAGTCCACCGTGCCTAGGCCAAAGCAGTCCACTAGGCAGCAGCCCTTGCCAGCGGCGATCACCTCTGCTTCGATGGACTGGGGCGAGATGGAGGACCTCGGCTTTGAGGTAGAACGTGGCAGGTTACCGTCAAGCCTCAAGGCCAAGGAGGTGGTTGAAACAAATACCTGCTTGAAGCCCAAAACGGTATAAAGACGGCATTGCTACCAATGGACGTCTTAATTTAACTTTATTTTTTCTCTCTCTGTCTCTCTCTCTCTCTCTCTCCAAGGTCCAACGTTCATACACCCAATATAATATATAACTGAGCCGGACGCGCCAGCCATCCAACACCTTTATTCTTGCAAAACTGGTACCAAACTAGACGACGAGTGGCCCGAAAGCATTTTTTCACCACGTGTGAAGTTAGAATGCGAGTTGTGTGTTAAGTGTTCACTGTGATGTGCTAAGTCTAGTGCGTTGGGTCAGTGTGTGGGTCTCTGTGTGTGTGTCTATGTGTGTATCTATGTCTGTGTGTGTATGTGTCTCTCTCTGCATGTCTCTCTCTGTATGTGTGTCTCTCTGGCGCGCAGGAACACCTTTTTTCTGCAAGTTCTTGACCTCTCGCAAGCCACCGACATCTGGGTAGCGCTGCGTCCACTCCTCAAACAACTTTCGCAGAACAAACAAAGTGAGAAGACCGGTGAGTGGACCAGGTTGAGAGGCCAGACAGTAAGCTTGAACCTCGACATATAACGCCAGGTTACGCATTGCCTCGAACTCCGCATGGGGCGTGTAGATCGCAGCGGCTTGGGCGCAGCAGCCTGACCTGGAAGAGGGATCTCACGGATACGGCTCTTAGTGGAACAATCCATGGCGCACGAAGAAACACGCGCTTGCAGAATCGCGGAAGTGCTCGGGCAATGGCACGCTGAACTCTAGCTGAAGCGACATCAATCGCACTGTCAATTGCAAGATCGATGGGTTGCAGCGCTTTCCAACCGGCCCATTGAAAAGCAAACGAGGTCCTGACAAAAGATCGAAGAAACAAGGCTTTAGGCTGGCTGTCATTCAGCTGCGACTCATGCGACCAACTATCGGCCAATAAATTCAGGGAGTAACTCAAACGGGACTCAAACGGATATTCTGAACCGACTGTGGCAACTTGAAATCTGCGGAGCTGCTCCCCGCACCAACTGGCTGCAACTCAGCCAAGGATTCTCAACGTCCTCGCTTATTCTCAGGGCAACGCGCCCCGATGTGCTTTGGGCTGCCACACACCCTGCCGGAGTTGGACGGCAGCGCACAGCGATGTTCGCCGGCAAAACACCGCCGTTCCCGCTGGTGGGGACACTCCCACAAACGGGCGCCATCTCTCGCCCAGGACTGCCTGCTGGGCGAGGCACAGGTGGAGTAGCAACTGGCACACTCAAGGGGACCACCCAGCGCGAGTCCCGCTCGATGGGCCCACTCACCACGTCCAGCTCGGTCCAGGGTCTCCATGCAGGCGCTTACCTTCCGGCATGCGCAACACCAGTCCTTCAGCCCGACAAATTCACTTCATCAAGAGGTCATACGAGACGGACATGTAGCTAGTAGAAGACGAGGTCAATGTCTCAACATCACTTGGTTGAGGGTCCAACTTGGAAGAACCGGCCATACCCAAAGCCAGGAAGTACAACTTGAGCTGGCTCAAATAGGTATACCAGGTCCGCTGCGCGGACGAATCCTGCTCATCCGGGTCGCTTAGACTGCGTGGCAATGGACCGCGCCTGCCAAACATCCATGACCTCCAAGGAACGCTTCTGCAGGGCCCTCTGCGCCTTAGTCCGCAAACGGTCCTCTGCAGGGAAAACCAAACGGTAGCGTGTCCAGAAAAGCTCACGAATACCCGCATGGGCGGCAAGCAGACACTCATCCTCATCCAAAGCCAGCGGCGTAGGGGAGGTCCCGTCCCGCTGTTGCTCAGCGGCCACGGTAGCCGTCCAACAATGGCGAAGCCGGGACAACTGAAGTCGGCGGTTGTCCAAATCTCGAATGGAGGTGATGAATGTGGACTCCAACTCATCAACTTTGGTGACAAAAAGTGGCGGAACTCAGTCAAATTGGTGAGCCCAAGAGACAAGATCTGGTCGCGAACTGCCTCGGCCAACTGGAACCGGGCGCACAGGTCCGTGAAATAAGATGGCTTGGGGGTTCGCCATGGCAATAGGAACTGGGGTGACCACAATCGAAATGCTTGAGCCGTTTGGATACACTGCTATCGGGATGAGAGGGCTATATATCGACAAAAATCCACCAACACCCGGATCGCGGCAACTCGGCCCTATAGCCCTCTCGCGCGTTGTCCATTTGCACAGAATCGACCTCGTTTAAAATCAACGTGAAGAAGGCAATGAACACGCCTGAAACGACAGAGAGCTCCCACGAGCGCACCTTCTCGAAAAGGCGCTGCGCACCTGCAGCTTGGCTACACCAACGGAGCCCCTATACTCGGCAGTGGCCTCAGCGAGCGTAGGCTGGCACTGGCAACATGCGCTCGAGCAGGCTGCGCACTCTGAGGTAATCTCTGGGAGAGTATAGGCTCACAGAACGTGATGTTTTGAATCAGCAGCCGATCCTGTTTGAGAAAGGCCCCCAATAGCTCCGTGCCCCTGAGAACGGCATGTAGCAAACCAGGTTTTGGCAGCGGCCATTCCAGCAATCCAACTGCGGAACGTCCCCAGAGGGCAACAGCCGGGCCAGGGCGTGGAACTCACGCTGGAGGAGCACCGCCATGTCAGCAACAGATCGCAAAGGCTGCAACAGCTCGCAAAGGTTTGAGCTAAAACAAGCTGGTAACTTGATTGAGTTGATCTCATCAAACCCTGCGTTGGGCCACCCCGCCGACTCAGGGGCTGCACGCGGACAACGAAAAGCATCAACCCACGCAGGCAACACCCTTTCAAAAGACGCTCAAAAGACGCCAACAGGGCTGGAATGCGGACCGTATGCCAGACAGTTGCAACCATATTAGCATCTGCATCGGGCACTAAACCTCAACGGACTCATCAAAAACTGAGCAACTGCGCCCACGAGGTCATTTCGCCCTCCCGTACCGGGGCACGCCCCGAAACATGCCCGAACACAGGGGGAGAGACCTGCAATCAACTGGCCCTCAAACAAATTCAGCCATGAACTGACAGGAAACGCGAGATCACGACGTAACCGCGAATGACTAGCAAAGCTCTGATTTTGCATCGGGCACACTGGCTAAATGGCGCTAGCGACAAACGTAAAAGAAGCACCTGCCACAATCCAAGGCTGACACGCGCTTCACCGACGAATTTCAATCCGTGAGGCTCGTAAAAAACTGCTGGCGCCACGGGCGCCCGTCACTCCTCAACCGAGGTTACCCGCAAAAAAGCCCTTCTTGGCAGTGGACGACTGCTTCCACCGACAGGCTGACCGCATGCACTCGCCCGATGGATGGAGCGCCTTGAGTGAACTTGATGAGAAAGTTCCCCGCCTGAACACGGATGCCCTGCTCCTGGAACTGGGAGAACAGCGAGGGTCGCTCAAACTCAACCTCCTCAGCCGGCCACCCCACGCGCATGGACCTGTCCGTGAGGCCCGGCGCCACGTCGTCCCACTGGTTGGCGCCATGGTCGTAGAGCAGAACACGAAGACATAGCCTCATCTCACGGCGCAGAACGGTGGCCTGCAGCAACTTCTGCCGAAAATACCGATGCGGCATCTTGTTCCCGCCGGGCTCAGAGACGTCCCAACCAGTTGCCAATCGCACAGGTCTCAGCCCCAGGCCACAGCCACCTGCCGCCATGATTTGGCAGACACCAAGGAGAGTTCGGCAGGCGTGAGCAAATCACTCACGCACTGCAGCACCTTGGTGCGGGAGACAGGCCCGGAGATCTCCTGCCAAGCGCTGACACGAAAACAAGCTGTAGAATGAGCTGGCGGCAGAGCCAGGATCTCGGCCAAAAAGACGCCACCAAAGTCAAACTGCTCCCATACCCCTCGCGGGGCGTCGACCAATGGAAACCGGCGCGATGCCCCTTCTGCTTGCCACGCAAACACTCGAAGTAGAGGGCCTTGTCAGTGGCGCGCAGCAGCCTCGATCTCTGAAGGTGCGTCCATCGAACACACCCCAGAGCCATAGCCCACGGGCCAAACAGGGCGAGCCACTCTGGATCCCGGTGCTCGATGGCTGCCTGCTCCAACCGTCTTCCCTATGCCCGTCCAGACGCGCTTTGCCCCTTCCAGGCTCTTGCCAGCCTTGCAGTTCTTGGTGCGCAACCTCCATATCAAAGGTGCCCTCACGTTGGCGATCCAGATGTGTGCTGCTTCCAAGTCAGCCCTGGGTATTGGCGCCAAACCCCTGTCGCCCAGCCGACGACGTTGGCTCGCTGGAGCCCGTGGAGGAGGGTGGAAAGCTGGGCGCAAGACGGACGCACCGTCGGCTTCCCCAACGCCTTGAGCGAAGGTGAAGGAGCCCCACCATGCTGGGCAATCACCACTCGAGCCCTCGCCCACTCTGGCGCGGCACTCGAGCCATGCATGGGCAACTGCCAAACCACCCTCTCCAACTGCCTCGGCGAAGTCCAGGAAGTAGAAGGCGAAATCGGCGTCAGCCTGGAGCCCATCACGCTCCCTGAAACTCTCCGCCGCCATGGGCAGAAAAGGACCCCTGGCAACTCCAGGAAAAAAGAAATTCACCTGAAGCCGTTTTGGGTCACTTGAGCATACGTGGCGGCGGCGGCACATGTACATGCAGCATGCCACAACTCAAGCGAGATCAACTGACATGAATGATGATGTGTCCACCACACCTGCCCTAAGACACTACAATATATATATATATATATAGATAAGCCTGTGGAGCAACTACAAAGAAGGCATCATGGACAAAATGAAACCAAACATGGAAATGGGCGCGACATGAACGAAACACCACATCAGCCTCCTGGGCGGAAGCCAAGGGAGTCCACTCCTGTGAACAGGATTCGAATGTTCCGAAGCTGCAAGCACTAGACGACTATTGCAAAGCCTGCGGCGTCATCAGGCAAGACTGGGTCGCCGACAGTGAATCCTACAACAGCGCGCCATATGAGTGAGTGGAA